TTTATTAGACATAGTCTTTTTTCATTTTAATTACATCCTGTTGACACATAATACATCATGTGTAATGACATCACTAGGCTCTACTTCTGTTAAGCATAATTGCAGGCTTTCCATATGCCTTGGCTTTAAACCCTAAAATTTCAGAACCTTGGATGTTTCAGGACTTTGCAAACCTAGCAACCACTCTTGATGAAGAAGAAAATGCCATAGTTTTCAGTGAGTTTTTTAATTTGTCAGTCATAGTATTTAAAAAGTACAGTTAGAATAAAAGCCCTATCCAAAGGTGCTTCCATTGTGGTGTATTTAATAAAATCCATTATGAAACTGCAGTTTATAATGCAGTTTAACTATATTGAACTGCATTATATGAGTCTACATTGCCATATAATGCAGTGTATTTATTTCACATATTTGTATCCTGTCCTTCTCATCCCCGGAGAGGAACTCAGAGCAATTTTACAACAGTTCAATGCAGTTAAACTGAATTATGAAACTGCATTAAATGGTAGTGTAGATGGAGCCCGAGTTCAATGAGAGAGAAATTCATAAACAGGATTGTAGCCCCAAACTTTCTTTCTATAAATGAAAGACATTCTCAGACATTATTTTCTCATTCACATTATTTTATGAGACCATTAATATTTTTATCTGTAGTGGTAGATAATGAGTAATGTTTGCAATTGTATTATGGCAATTTTTATAGTTTCATAAGCCAATTTTAATGATTTACTAAATGTTCCCAGGGAAAGAAATTTAAAATTTCAAATTAGTATGATACATAATAATTACAAGTGCTGAATAAGGCAAATATCTACATTTAGTATATTTTGACTTTTTCTGCCACTTTTGCTAACTTTACATACAACTTTAAGGAAAAAAAACTTTGCCTTTGTTACAAAGAACTGCTTTCCAGCTGGGTCTGGGTGATACATTTTCAAGGTGATGATTCCAAATGAATGTGTCATGATCTTTTCAAATGGATGGGGGTGTTTTATTTAAGATAATCCTCACTGAGGCAACTTTGAAGGCATAAATGAAAAGCTTCCAACGCAAAATTTAAAAAGTCAAATTTTCTTTGGCTAAATGAGGACACCTGGTGGTGGTTGAATATGTATAAACAAACAAGAAAAAGGCAAGAAAACCCCATTATAGGTTAGATATATTTCAGAGGCAAAACCAGCTCTATGTATTCCTTGCCTTAAAAATAAACTATGACATTAAAAGCGGAGAGGCAGCTTGAAGGCACAAACATACAGATTTGCTGTAGGATCTCCATAAGTTGGAAACAGCTTGAAGGCAAAAAACAACAACAACAACATGCTGTATTTACAAACTTTGGAGGCCAGGATTCACAAATCCATGATGGACCCAAGTTCCCTGTTTATTTGTTTTTACTGTTAATTCCTATCAAGTCAGCTTCAACTTCTAAAATCCCAATTAATTAGAGTCCTCAAAGATATCCTGTCGTCAACAGCCTTGCAAATATCTTGTAAACTCAGAACTGTGGCTTTTATTAAGTCCGTTCACTTGTAATATAGTCTTCTTTTTCCTACTTCCTTCCATTTATCATATTTTATAACGTCAACTCATTATATGGTCAAAGTACAATAGCCTCAGGTTTGGTTATTTTGGCTTCTTGAGAGAGAGATCAGATTCAGACTACTTTATTTACTTTAATTACACTATGTAGCCCCCAGTGGCGCAGTGGGATAAAGCGCTGAGCGAAACTGTGACCGAACATGTGACTGAATTCGAACCTGTGACCGAAAAGTCGCAGGTTTGAATCCAGGGAGCGGCATGAGCTTCCACTGTAGCCCCAGCTTCTGCCAACCTAGCGGTTCGAAAACATGCAAATGTGAGTAGATCAATAGGTACCACTCCCGCAGAAAGGTAATGTCGCTGTAGGCAGTTATGCTGGCCACATGACATTGGAGGTGTCTAGGACCACGCCAGCTCTTTGGCTTAGAAATGTAGGTGAGCACCAACCCTCAAGAGTTGGACACGACTTGACTTAATGTCAGGGGAAAACCTTTACCTTTACTATTGCTGTACTTACTTTGAAATTAGTTTTTATACTCCAGAAACTTTGTTTTTGTGGCTGCTACAAACTATGTTGAATTGGTTGAGACTCCACGAGATATTCATTGAAAAACTATAGCAAAACATGTTACAGGATGTCCTGCAAAAATAAAGTTTTCACAGTTTAATACACTTATTCTATGTTTTCATGCTAGAACCAATTAGGAAATTACATTTATAACCCAGGAGCAAAAATTGCATTATATAGTGTAATTATATGATCAGAATGCAAAATGTCCATTATGTTTTGGATGTAGTTCTTGACAAAAGTGTGTCTTTCCATTAGATCAGTGATTTCCAACCTTGTTTTTAAAACCAGGGACCACTTTGACTAGGAACCACTCTCCAACATTAGTACCAAAAGTGTTACGAATCAATTTTTGGTCAAGTTTATATTGGTTTGGTTATTTGGGATGCCGATTCAGAAAACTGCATTGGATAGACCACATCACCTCTAGTTTCTGGTACAGAACATATGCCATCCAGTAACTGCCATTTGTTCACCCACAGAAAACCATTTTTAATAAGCCTCAGCACTATAAGAGGATTGCGTGAAACCAGTTGCTTGCATTGCAATGATGTAGTAACAGTGAGACCGCGGACCATATTTTAGTTTATGTGGACCACTGGTGGTCCACTGACCACAGTTTGGGAACCACTGCATTAGATGGAAATAAATATTTCATTTATATTTTAATTCAGAGCTTTCCAAACTATGTGTTGTGACATGTTAGTGTGAATGTGACAAGAAACCACTATGTGAAATAAGTCATAATTCAAACTTTTTAAAAAAAAAAATACATGAAATATTTTCATACATTTTATTATTACGATCTATGTTATGTGTCCATATCACTTCTAAGGGATTGGTTTAACCTCCTGTTTGCTAGTAAAACTGAATTACCGTGTCGCAAAAAGATGCATGTCTCAACTGTGTGTCAGCAACATGACCTGTCTGGAAAACTCTGATTGATAGGCCCAAACTTATGATCTATGCATCCTATCCATAACCTCCTTGCTTTCAGTGGACTAGAAATGGGTTGCTACATTAATATTTTATCCTCATTAATATGAAACGTAAAGTAGAAAGTAAAGCATAGGTACAGTAAATCAAACGGCCATTCTTGTTGATGTAGGCATTCTTACAAATCAAAGAGAGCAAGAATTGCTTTAGGTATGTTTTGATCATTCCTCATGACCTTTACACCCACTGAAAGTAGTTTTTGTGAGTAAATACGGGTTGAATGTTTCTTGTCCGAAAAACTTGGGGCGACAGAAGACAGGTTACTTCTCACATCTCATTATTTTCCTTTTTATTTATATTTTGACTGACTTGGCCAGGCCAGGGCCTGCCTGGGGCACCTTCCACACAGCTGAATAAAATCCCACATTTTCTGCTTTGAAGTGGGATATAGAGCAGTGTGGACTCAGATAACCCAATACAAAGCAGATATTGTGGGATTTTCTGTCTTGATATTCTGGGTTATATGACTGTGTGGAAGGGCCCTGGATAATAATAAGAGCCCAAACCTTGTCATTTGCCATCACTTCAATTTATGGTGAAGAGGCTTTCCAGAGACTCAGACTGCATCTACATTGTAGAATTAATACAGTTTGACACCACTTGAGCGGCCATAGCTTGATGCTATTAAGGAATCTTGTGAGTTGTAGTTTGATAAGGCACCAGCACGGAGTCCCTATGGGGAGATAGGCCAGGATATAAATAAAGTTTGATTGATTGGTTGATTGTAGATCTTAGGAAGCTATAGCTTTGAATCATGGCAATTAAGGGCCCTTTGACACAGCTACGTAACCCAAAATATCAAGATGGCAAATCCTACAATAATGGCTTTGAACTGGGTTATCTGAGTCCACACTGCCATATATTCCAATTCAAAGCAGATATTGCAGGATTTCCTGACTTGATATTCTGGATTATATGGCTGCGTGGAAGAGTCCTGAGGGCAGAAAATCCCACATTATCTGAGTGTGCTCAGATAACCCAGTTCAAAGCAGATATTGTGGGATTTTCTGTCTTGATATTCTGGGATATAGAGCTGTGTGGAAAGGCCCTGAGGCAGTAGCTTGGGGCCCTTCCACACTGCCCTATATCCCAGAATATCAAGGTAGGAAATCCCACAATATCTGAGTATGGACACAGATAACCCAGTTCAAAGCAGATATTGTGGGATTTTCTGTCTTGATATCCTGGGATATAGGACTGTGTGGAAAGGCCCTGAAGCAGTAGCTTGGGGCCCTTCCACACTGCCCTATATCAAGGTAGGAAATCCCTCAATATCTGCTTTGAACTGGGTTTTCTATGCCCACACTCAGATAATGTGGTGGACCCAGTTCAAAGCAGATATTGTGGGATTTTCTGTCTTGATATCCTGGGATATAGGACTGTGTGGAAAGGCCCTGAAGCAGTAGCTTGGGGCCCTTCCACACTGCCCTATATCAAGGTAGGAAATCCCTCAATATCTGCTTTGAACTGGGTTTTCTATGCCCACACTCAGATAATGTGGTGGACCCAGTTCAAAGCAGATACTGTGGGATTTTCTGCCTTGATATTCTGAGATATAGGGCTGTGTGGAAGAGCCCTCAGACAACCCAGTTCAAAGCAGATATTGTGGGATTTTCTGCCTTGATATTCTGCAATAGAGGGCTGTGTGGAAGAGCCCTCAGATAACCCAGTTCAAAGCAAACATTGTGGGATTTTCTGCCTTGATATTCTGGGATATAGGGCTGTGTGGAAGAGCCTCAGCGCTCACTCCCTGCCCTAACATCGCCCTCTATTGGTTCTTCCCCACTCTCTTTCTTCCTTGACTGACAGCTGCGCCGGTTGGAAGCGCGTGCCGCCTCCGCTCCAAGCGCGAGGAAGCCCCCCCCCCTGTCAGTCCTCCCTAAGCTCCGCCCCCAACGCCTCGCGATTGGCTGGCCGGCCCGGTGCGCCGCAGTCCCGGCTGTGCAGCTGCTTTTTTCCTTTCCAGAGGCGATTCCTGAGGTGCGGATCAGCTGTTTTGAAGAGCGGAGGGAGGGCGGAAGAGGAAGAAGGCCCCCTCCCCTTTCCCTTGGCTTCTTTCCCTGAGGCGGCGCTGACGGAGGAGAGCGTCCTCTCCGTCTCCATCTCCCGGAACAAAGGCACCTGCCTGCCTGCCCCTTTCTCCGCGGAGAGATGGCGTCTTTCAACCTCGGGGGACTCCATTCCTCCTCCTCCTCCTCCTCCCGGAGGAAAAGCGTCTATTCCCGCAACGCCACCGTCGAGAGGCGGAACCTCATCACCGTCTGCAGGTGAGCAGCATCTCCAGCATCTAGACATGCATATCTATCTGAAATGTCGCAGGAATGGGCAAACTTTGGCCCTCCAGGTGTTTTGGACTACAACAGGAATTATGGGAGTTGGAGTCCAAAACACCTGGAGGGCCAAAGTTTGCCCATCCCTGTTCTATCTAGAATATACCCACTGTACCATATCCCAAACATATAATTGTACGATGTACCTATCTATATATCCCCCCATACTATTTCTATCCAGGATATATATTTTTATGTTTATTGTATTTTTATTTCATTCTATCTCAACCCCAAAGGGGACTCAGGGTGGCTTCCAAATTGGCAATAATTCAATGCCGCAATAAACATAAACATACAAATACAATGTATTGTCGAAGGTTTTCATGGCTGGAATCACTAGGTTCTTGTAGGTTTTTTCGGGCTATAGGGCCATGTTCTAGAGGCAATGCCTAGAACATGGCCCTATAGCCCGAAAAAACCTACAAGAACCATACAAATACAATGTGTGTATGTAGGAAAATCATTAAAAAGCCATAACATATCAATACATTAAATAAACTGTTAAAAGCAGAACACAAAAGACCTGAAGTCGTAATCCAGGAACCATTCCAATCATATTACATTTTACCCCGCACTATCTCGACCCCAAAGGGTACGCAGAGAGGCAGGCATGTAGCCGGGTTGGGGGGGGGGGGCTTGAGGGGCTTCAGCCCTCCCCCCCCGAAATTCTCAGGGTGGTCCGCAAAAAGGCTTTATTGGTACATTATTAAAACTGTTATGTTTATTCATATCATGATCTGATCACCATGCTCAATATATCCCATATGCATGGGGCTATTGGGATAACAATACAAAAGGTTTGCTAGGGTAGATCCTCACCCCCCGCTTTTTTTGAATCAAACTCAGCACCCCCCAAATCAAAATCCTGGCTACGGGCCTGCAGAGCAGCTTCCAAATTGGTAGTAATTCAGTTCCACAATAAACATAAACACAATACTACACATTGAAATTAATAGAAAACCATAAAAAAAACCCATAACATTCCAATAAATTAAAATAAACTATTAAAAACATAACACAAAGACCCAAAATCGTAATCCAGGAGCCATTCCAATTATATTACAACCACTTCATAGCAGCCCAGTGTGCTGTACTACTCTTCAAATGCTTAGTTTCATAGCCAGGAACTAGGAGGGAAGGAGCTGATCTAATTTCACTGGGAAGGCAGTTCTATAGCTGAGAGGCACCACTGAGAAGGCCCTGTCTCTCGTTCCCACCAACCGCACCTGCAAAGGAGGTGGGACCAAGAGCAGGGCCTCCCCAGAAGATCTGAGGTGGATCATAAAGGGAGATAGTTAGGACAGGTAAGCTGGGGCAGAACCGTTAAGGGCTTTATAGGCTAAAGCCAGCACTTTGAATTGTGCTCTATAGCAAATTGGCAGCCAGTGGAGCTGATGCAGCAGGGGGTTTGTATGTTCCCTGTACACTGCTCCAGTGAGCAATCTGGATATATATCAATCTGTATACCCAATACCTTTCTCCCTACCCCATACGTATACTTTTAATATTAATAATAAAGCTTTGTTCATATCCTGCCCCCTCTCTCCAAGGGGACTTGGGTCGGTTTACAACAAAACGAACAATGTACGTAGTGTCATCACACTTACTTCCAAAAAGTTAAAACAGACAAATCAAAAGGGCAAATCGCAACACACAGAAAATAAATCCAATAAGATTTTATGATGTTTTATCTATACCTAAATCTGGAGTTTGCCCATGCCTGGTCTGGAATATACTCTATGCATCTATTTCTATCTAGAATATATAGAAATGATTGATATCCCATCCTCTATGTAATACTTCTTACCTGATTCTCCTCGTGGCTCAAGGCGGCTTACAAAACACAGCAAAAACACTAGAAATGCATACGTTAAAATGTACCTCCATAAAAGCCACCTAAAACTTATCTCTATAAAATACATATTAAAACAGACAAAACAGAGATTAAACAAACGACATGCATTAAAATTCATGTATATTAAGTATACCCCACACATAGACTTCTGGAGCACCCGGTGGTGCAGTGGGTTAAACCCTTGTGCTGGCAGGACTGAAGACCGGCAGGTCACGGGTTCGAATCCGGGGAGAGGCGGATGAGCTCCCTCTATCAGCTCCAGCTCCTCATGCGGGGACATGAGAGAAGCCTCCCACAAGGCTGATAAAAACATCAAATCATCCAGGCGTCCCCTGGGCAATGTCCTTGCAGACGGCCAATTCTCTCACACCAGAAACAAATTGCAGTTTCTCAAGTCGCTCCTGACACGACAAAAAACCAATAAAAACAAAAACATAGGCTTCTACCTAGAAAAATACACCATACATATAGTTCTATCTACTCTAGGATAAACCCCACACATACACTTCCGTCAAAGATATACATATGTACTCCATACATATGCTTCCACCTAGAATATACTCCATACACATTCTACAATCAAGAATATACCTTTCTATATACTATATGCATAGACTTAGGTCTAAATACTCCTAGTGAATACAGATAGATTGAATATCCCTTTTCTGAAGCGCTTGGAATAAGAAGGATTTCAGGTTTTTTTTCGTATTTTGTGATTGTATATATGCACGCTGAGATATCATGAAGATGGGACTCAAGTCTAAAATTGAAAATTTTATGTCATAAACAACTATACACAAAATCTGAAGGTAATTTGCTATTCAATGTTTAAAATGTTCATGAAGCAAAGTTTGTGTACATGGAACCATCAGAAAGGAAAGGTATGCTATCTCGGTCACTCATTTGCATAATGTTTGAGTATTTCTGATTTTCGAATACCATAGGGCATGCTCAATCTGTATACAGATGTGCATCTCTCTCTCTCTTTCTCTCTCTCTCTCGTATACAGGGTGTCCCAAAATGTATATACCCTTAACACTTTATAATCCTAGATTTTTGCAGCTTTTTCCAAAACATCAACGAAGGTGCATTTATCCTGTAGGATTAATGTAGTTTGACACCACTTTGTCAAAATTCCAAGAGTAGAGAAGTGCAACTCTGTGCTTGGGTGATGTAAGAAGTGTACAGCTGTTACATAAAAGTAATTTAAGAAAAAATGTGACTTTGATTAAATTATGATTACAATTTTTATTTTTAAATACTTAGCTGTAAAATAATTACCATAGCTACTGCTAGCTGTAAAAGGGTGCATATATATATTTGGGACATACTTTATACTCTCTGTTGGTGCCTCTCTGCAGTGTTAGCCATCCAAATACTTTTCAACAAATATAAATAAAAAAATCTCCCTGGGGTTTACAGTATGTACAGAGTGTAATCTTAATACAGAATACATACCTCCTGGACCTTTCCTCGCAGTTGCCAGCAAAGGGGAGAATGCCCAAATTCTTCTGTTGATATATGTGTAGTAGAGGGGAAATATTTCCACATTTTTATAATGTTGGCTTTGAATAACACACTGGAAGGTGTGCTCATACATGTTAAAGAGAAATTAAACTCTTCTCAACAGACTTCTGTGGGTTGTCAGAACAGATAATTTCTCCTTCCTTATTAGAGCATCGGCATTATGTTGTCCCTTAAACCTATCTGCAGAAACTTATTTTCTTATTCCTCCTGTTTTCAGACCTGTCAATTGTTAGAAACACCTGCATCAATTCCTCTTAGATAAGACCAATATAGCCCTGTGACAATATCGTGGAATAAAGTGTCTGTGACCAATTTATTATTTATTTTATTTCCAATATTTCTATCCCGCCCATCTCAACCCCCAAGGAGGGACTCAGGGCGGCTTACAAACCAGCCACAATTCGAAGTCACAATATAATACAAATATAAACACTACAAATTAATATGTAGCCATGAAGCAGCCTCATTCTTTCGGCCCTTTTATCCTGTATGAATGCTAAGATATATATGCAATTTTCTGATTTTTCCCATTTTAGTTTTTGTTGTTCCTATAGAGCGTTCTCTAACTTGCTTTACAGCTTTGTGCTTGAATCATATCTCAATTATCCCTTAACCTGTGTTGAATGCTATACCTGTGAGAGGATGGGGGAAGAATACAGAGTAACAGATCCTGCAGAAGTAGTGGTAATAAACTGCCATAGATTAGAAGAAACAGAACCAAAGCCAGGCTGTAGATGCCTTGGTAGGATTAGCTCCCATATTATGAGTTCTTGGGTTTTTATTGGCTACGATTCATGCTATTGGGGAGAAGTAAATGATTGTCCTTGTGAACACCTTTACAATGAAGGCAAAGATGTCTGACCAGGTGTTATTGTTTTCACAACGAAGCGTGTCACTGAATATCACCAGGGAATCTAACAATATGTGAAATTCCTTCTACTAGTTTACTCCATCTATTCATCTGTTAGCTGCTCTATATAGAGAGGCTATTTATTGAAATGGGAGATAAATCTTTCTTCAATAGTGATATTGGTCAGCATTCTTCATAGCAAGCTAGTTCGCTCTGTGCATAACTTGAACATCTTGCTGCTACCCTTGCAGTAGGAATATGAATATGAAGTGCTAAAACTATGGAAATAGAGGCTGGTTCACACTACACAATTATAGGACAATTATCCTGCCCTTGTCCATCCTATATAATCTTGGCATTTGCAATTCAGGAAAGAGTTTATTAGAATTATCATACAGAGAACTCTAGTGCCTCACCAAATTGGCAATCCCAGAATTCCAGTGAATACAATCATAGCAGTTAAATGGAATCGTAGCATTGAAATTCTGAACTGCGAAATAAATAGGCTGTTGTGTAGTTTACAGCTGAGGAAAAACCTAGTCCTCTTTACAAATACAGTACTGCAATAAGTGTATAGTTAGAGTTTTTTCCCCCTGTATCAATGAGTAACTGCCATTTTAAAATGGGGAATATTTAAATACCTCAATTGGGGGAAAACTTGTCATGTAGGAGAAACTGCTCAGCCACCAGCCATAGGAGTTAATGTTTTCCCCTTGTTCCAATCTATCTGCAACAGGAATATGAAGAGCGGTAAGAAGATCTCTATACCAAAGACAGCCTGGAAGAAATAATTGCATCAGACATACTGTTCTCTTCCCTATAAATGTGACAGTGGGGATTATATGCACTGTACTCAGAGAATGCTTAATACTTGGAATGGTAGGACATTTGGGGTGGAAAAACAGGTTTGTGTGGATCATAGGAACAGCCCTAGTGATGGTCTTAATGTGTTGAGTGAGGATGATGAAAGCATATGGGTACTGGGTTTGTGGAATGTGTGTTCCAACACCATGAAAAAGAGAAGATACCCTCCAGCGATTTTACTTGCAGTCTGTGATCTCCATGACTCAGTCCTAAACCAAACCATTTTGCTTCCAAATTCCCCCCTCTCCATCAGTGCACTAGGGTGGCTCTTTCCATCTGCAAAAGGAGCAGCAGTCTGTGTGGTTTTCATCCTGTTTCTCATAAATTTCTGGTATATTAAGTAGAGCATTAGATTTTCCTTCACTTTTTTGATGTCAGTTATGGGCATCCCTTGCGCCTTTCACTAGCCACAGGAAAAAGGTATTGTGTGGGCTTACCACAGTGCATCAGAAATTAATGATTTATTAATATACAATATTCATTGCCTTTTAAAAATTCTTCCCAAGCACTTCTCCGGGTAGTAAAATAATAATGATGAGAACAGCCCTCATGCTTTGAAAAAGAATGCACGGTGAAACAGGTATCCTCTAATCATCTCTGTCTCTTCTTTAAATTTGGCTGAGTTTGCATATGTGTAAGATAGGTACAGCATGTGAATTGCATATGTAACTCATGTGAGAGTGGAACAGCTAGTTCAGTCAGTTTTCAAATCGCTCATCCAGAAAAAAGTAACACTGGTCCTTTGTGTTACTTGAATTCAAACCTTTAATCAGAAGTTTGGAAAAAAAACATCAGTTTTTTTAAATCTTACCCCTTTAAACGACTCCTCGGTGCAACAAGGGATGGGATGCTGGTATTTTTTTCTTGTTAAAACTGTGCAGTTTTTATTATTATCCTCACTCAAGCCCCCACATAGTCAACATTGCAGTCAGTATTCCTTTTCGGGGGGTGGGGGTGGTGGATGCATTTCTGTTGTGATCCAAGATGCTCTATGTTATTCCTTGTTTTTATTATATCATTATTACTATATGTAAAGGCATAGATTTCTGATGTTTACATAATTTTTGCCAGAATAGTTCAGTTTTTATTATTTATGAGCAGTGCATGTGAACCTGGTATTTGTACTGCACATATTTCCACTCTTATTATTTAATAAGCAATAAGAGGGATTGATTTTGGCATAACGGCTTATATGAAGAGGTGGATTTTAGATGATATTTAATACCTTGCTAGTGAAGCAGAACAGTTACCTTGCTAACTGTGGTTTTCCTTTTCTGAACACTGTGCTGCAGTACTAGAAACCCAGGCAAAGATGTGCAAATTTCCCATCTTTTCCTCTACTCTATCCTTCCTCACAATCATAATCTTTCAGAGAATGTGCTTTTTGTTCTTCTTGTTAAACAAGTTGCTATTCACCTTTTCTGTTTAATGTGTTCTCACTACCCAACAAATATGTCTGTTGTGGAATGCTTTAACACAGTACAGGCGTGTACAATTTTCTGGTATTGTTGATCCCATGAAGAGAACTATTTTAAATCTTGGGGGGTGAGGAATAGGAAAAGCAATATTACCACCCTTTATAGAATCAGAGTTGGTTTGTTACTTTAGAAACATAAAATAAATATAATTTAGATCGATGTAAAATATAAGTTGGTTGGATATAAAAGTACTATGAATGTTATTTATTCAGAAAACAATTACAAATTTAATTTATGTTTCAAAGGCCCTGAACCGTAAGAAATGCCTGAACTCTATTAAAAATCTTTGATTTTGTCTCTCCCGAGAATCAGATAAAACCCCCAGTAAACACAGATATAAACATCAATATTAGTAAAACAATAATCATTTTGTCTTCTGTAGATCACAGTGGTACCAAGGAGACATAAAGCATTCATTTCCATGAAAAGAACTGAAAAAATAAAATTAGGAATAGAAATTATAATGATTTCATAATGCACATCAGTGCTTCTCAGGTTCTATAATAAGGAAATTGGATTTTTCCCCCTAATGTGCCAGGAAACTGGTACCATATTTGTACCTATTGCCTTTTTTTTTTTTTGTTTCCTGGAAACTAAGAGCTAATGGCTCACACACCAGCATTACCGTACATACTGCCACTTTGAGTGGCACTAGTGTAATAAGGTTTTCAATTTAGCAGTAAGGGACAGTTGAAATTCATGGCACATGGAGCTAACAATTGGGAGGTAACAGTTAAGAAGACTGTGTTCTACCTAAATATCAGATTGAATTACTGATTTCAGTTAACGAACCCGTGCTTTTCTGTGTAAAATTAATGTATTGTTCACATTCATGATGTTGCTTAATGTTATATAAAAATAACAGTAACATAGTTGTTAGAAACCATAGGGAGAATAAAGATGTGAACATCCTTTATTGGCCTATCAATAAATGGGCAACCCATTTTTGAATGGCTTTCTTCCAGTCTTCTGTCCCTTATTTGATCTTCAAAGACACACTGGTCTTGCCGCTATGGATTTGCACAGCTGCAAAATTCCATCATGGTGTCAAAGGACCAAAATCTTCCTGAACCAGAATCTTTGTTCAATCGAGATGGCTAGCTAGCCTGAAGATCTCAGACAGATTTTCTTTGCTTCTAGCACTCTAAGACATGCGGTGATATAAGTCACAGTCATGGATTGTTTTTGGGGTTGGGCGGGGGGGGAGGCTTTCTATAGGCAATTGATGGCTGCAGTGCAAACAGAGACAAAAGCGACCTTTAGTCAGATCTAGCATTGCTCTTTATGTGTTTTCGTCATTGGTTTGTTCTTGTTTCTCATTTACAATTGCACAGCTGTCTTGAACTGGAAATTGAACTTTTGTTTACCTCAATTACATAGTTGCAAGGCTCCTTTTATATAGTGGGGATAGTAATCATGCCTTTTCTTTACTTCTTACTGTTTTATTTGAATAATAGTTCTAATGTCAGTTCTGGAATGTATTTTAATCATCAGATGAGAAGGTGATCAAAAAGGGTTCATGAGGGTCCTATAATTAATTCCCTTCCTCAAAGTCAACAGCCTAAAACCAGTGAGTTTTTCAGGCTTTGTACTGCAAGATTCCTCATCTTTGTGGTGTTCAATCTGCACTAATAAAATAGAAGTTGGGAAATTTGCAAGAAAACTGTAAATGCTATGTTGCAGTAAAAGATTTGGATTTAATATAGTGGTAGTGTATTGGTGAGTTAATGTGGAATATTCAGGCACCAGTCATCCATTATTTTGTGGGATGGTAAAGTGTATGGAAGCCTGCATAGACAGAATGATATAAAATTTGGCCCAGAATTCTTGTATGCTTCACAAAATTCCAATAATAGGTCTCCACATGTCCCATTCCGTTTCCTTCATCTTGCAGATTTGTGTCACTTTGTATCTTATTGTTGGTCGGTACCATAATTCATCATGCTTTAAAAAGAATAAAGGAAAGCAAGGCTATGCAGTCTTGTTTTCCCTTCCTCTGCTCTAAGAGGGAGGCGCGTCTTACAATTGTTCCATAACTATAGATTAATCTTTCTATCTATCATACTGTATATTGATCCTGTTCTTCAGCAAAAGCAATTATGCACTTGCTTGCTACTTTTAGCAAGTTGAAATGGTTTCTAAGCAACTAATAGTCTCAGCTTTACTGATACTTATAAAATTTTCTACCAGAAAATATACTATATAACCAGAGCTTTATTTTAAACATTATCAATCTGAGAATCATAGCAGATGGAACATTAATTTAAAAGTATTTTCTGCCTTTATATTCTTGGTTATATGGCTGTGTGGAAGTGCCCTCTGTAAGTCTTGCTTGATTTTCCTCCAAACGTCAGGGAATTTTTTATCAGATATGGCAATACAGTACTTAAAATATTTAAATTTTTTCTCTGTTGTAAAACCTGATAAATTTGACAAACAATTCCTTTCAACAATATCTAGCAGCTTATATAAAGGATTATTTCTCCTGTGGGAAGCCTCACAGTTTCATTTTCATTCTTAATAATCACTATAACTATTGTCATTTTGAAATGGAATAAATTGTGCCTAAGGAGCGGGATAAGCTCAGGAGCTTAAATATGAAGGAATTTAAGTAGATATACATGTACCTGTAATTACTTGTCAACCTTTCTTACCTAAACATTCATTTTAAGTATTTAAAATGTATCTGATGATTGAATGCATTTTGGTTTCAAGGGAAAACATTCGGCTGATATTTGTTAACAGAATGACTTACTATAAACATGGCCAGTTCCATACATTAAATAAATAAGCCTGTTTTTGTTCAGCAATACAAACAATAATAATTACAGTAAACCAAACAACTAAAACATACCTGTTTTAAAAGATACACATGAGTTTCTGGGTTGCACACTGCAGAGTGATAAAGAGTGTCCAAAAATAAGAGGGACTATAATCAACTTAATTTGAAAACTTATAGAATTTTCTAAATGTCAGTGATGTATGTCAGTTTGAGGGAACATCTTTCCCTAAAGTATTATGCAGTCCAGGATGCATTATAAAAATAGTTTCCTGCTTTTCATATTCCATAGGTTTTCTATCAAAACACTTATTGATCGATCCTGTTTTGAAACTATTGATGATTCTTCTCCTGAATTCAACAATTTTGCAGCCATTCTGGAACAAATTCTAAGCCATCGCCTTAAAGGTATTTAAATGCTGCTTTGATAAGTTGGTCCCGGCCCCCCCCCCCACCCCCACAACAATCCTTTCTGTCTAAGGATGTGTAACTAAGATTTAGATCAGTGGTTCTCAACCTGTGGGTCCCCAGATGTTTTGGCCTTCAACTCCCAGAAATCCTAACAGCTGGTAAACTGACTGGGATTTCTGGGAGTTGGGGACCCACAGGTAGAGAACCACTGATTTAGACTGATGTGTTTGTGATGACTTTGTCATAATCAATTTTGAGGCTTGTTTGTCCTTTTGACTGATCTCTTCTGCTGGCTGGGAGAGACCTTTCTGTTTATCCAGGTTTCTTACTATTAATTGATCATTATATATGCCTTTTAATGGGAGTATGCTGTATTATTATTATCATCATTAAGCATGTTTTTAAAGTATTTTAATTAATATTTTAATTTGAATGATTATATGTTTTTAATTCTGGTACTATTATGAGGGGTTTTTTTTGTTTTTGTTTTTAACTTACATTGTCATCCACCAAGATCTCTGAGTTCTGACCCAGGATTTTAAGATAATCACTGCCCCATCAAGCATGGTTTGAACCCAATGATCCTAGATTATTGATCCTAGATCAGCAGTAATATCCAGGAAAAACTATTTCCTGGCTCATTTAAACTTCAGCTTAAACTTTTTTTTAACATACCAGGGGTAGCTGATGAGGCTTCTTTCTTCTTTCCTTCTCTCTTTCTTTTGCTATTCATGCATGGTTAGTAAAGGAGTTATACAGCAGCTATGTGTACCTTTTGTAAACATGGCTTAGATTTTTTGCTGAGCATGCCCAGAAAACTCACAGAAATTCTAGCCATGAAAGCCTTTGACAACATATCAAACTTTAATTAGTATTATATGGTGTAAAGACAAATGGTGTACCATAAATGGCTTGCACCCCTTTTTGAGACTGGAAGACATAATTAACAGAAAGTTTGTATTTCATGCATTTAATTTTAATGATTTCCTTTCTGCTTGATATCTGGATTCAGGTCAAATCAGTTGGTTTGGCTATGAAAGCCCTCGTAGCTTCTGGGATTATATCAAAGTGGCTTGCCGCAAGGTTTCACATAACTGCATCTGTAGCATTGAAAATATGGAAAATGTTGGTTCTTCAAGAGCTAAGGTGAGAATGTGTTTTTAAGCATTACATGATAACAATAGGCATAGAAGTTTATAGGATTAATAAAAGGCTTGAAGCATAATTGCTTGGCTTTATAACATTTTCTGTGTACGACATTCTGCAAATTAGGATTCAGTCTGAGATGCAGGTATACAGTGAGGGAGAAAAGTATGTGGGTCTGGATTTAAGAAACATTCAAGAAAGTATAGGCATTTACATTGGGGATGGAGACTGCAATGAGAGTGGAAGGAGGGTTTTGTTGAAATCTAATTTGGTTGACAGTATAGGAACTATAGTAAATTACCATACCTCTGTTCTTCCATGGCAACTGTCCTCTCATTTTAACAAGAATGCTAAAATGATTATTTTAAAACAAGTTAAGGAGCTAAAATATTAGACATGGGAGAATTACACACATTTCTGAATCTCTGGTAAAAACAGAAAAATTTAAGTGGTTTTGATTATAGTTAGATCCGCAGAAAAGATGGAAAACATTATTGTGTTGAACTACAGTTCCATGGCAAGTGATCTATCACCATAGGATATAGGGCAAAAAAGAAATATCTTAATAAATGGTATAATATAATAAATGATGACTATGCTGCATAAGGAATTTTGGAAGTTACAGTCTAAAAAGCAGTGTTTCCAAGCTGTACTCCAGAGTTTATTTTGAGGGCTGGGAATCCACTTGACTATACATGGCCTAGAACCATGTATGAAGTACATTGTTCTCTTGGAAATAAGACATAGCTTTAGTTTTGCCAGCTTGACCAGTTTTTGAATATTCGAAATTATGTTGACTTGCTCATTATAACACTGAGTTAATGGCTTCATTTTTTTTTTAGGGAAGAGCATGGATCAGAGTAGCACTGATGGAAAAGCACTTGTCCGAATATATTTCAACAGCTTTGCGAGACTTCAAAACAACCAGGTGTTAATGCCCATGTTTAACAAAATAATAAAGTGGATTTCAAGGTTTCTCAATATAATTCTCTTACTTGCTAATGTATCCCTTTCTGGATTCTATGTGATCAACCATAATTGAATTTTGTAAACATAATTGCGCTTTAAATCTCCCTCCCTCTCTCTCTCACACACACATGCACTCCCCAAAAGTTCAGTTTAACCAAAGAACTGCCAATAACTGATTGCAAAACTCTTCTCCCTATGCTACTCATTATTCTGCAACATTTGGCACAACCTTAAAGTCCTCAATATATATATTAAAAGACATTGATGTAAATGCAGTATAGGAATTACACTAAAAAGAACTTGCCCATTATACTACAGAAAATTTCCCTCCTAAATACACAATTAAAAAAAAATCATATTCTAGCTTCCCTCTCTAGCTTCCCTTCTCCCTCTTTACACCACCAATAACAGCCCCTCCATAAGGGTTTCCCATCTACCGAGTCAAACCAATACTCACAGTAATTAAACAAGTACTTGTTCATTAGTGGAAATGTAGTTATCAAATGTGAATATTTTGGTGGCAGTAAGGATCTTAGAGATACAGTAATGAGACATCGTTTCCTATGAGAAGATTTCTTGATAAGATTTCCTGATAGAAAAACTTAAGTATCAGTGTGGAAATCATTGCACTCAAGTCATTTTGATTGACACAGCATTTTCAGACTTTGCTGTTAATACACTGATATTGAACTAAAGCAATTTTGAATCACATTTTGTCTCATTTCATTTTGAAGTATTTCTAGCTAGAAGACATTGAAATAGTGAACAGCAGTAACCCCCCCCCCCTCCCAAAAGGATGTGTAAGGTTTTATTTTGGTGCCTAGTAATAAACAAAGTAGAACCCAAATCATTTGCTTGATGTCAAACAGTCATAAGAACATATATGTCCATAATTATATTCCAGTTGTAATACTAAATATATAATTATATGATTTTTTAAATTTTGAAATTGCTGTTAAAAAGTATTAACACTGTATTTTTAGTAACATTAGTAGTTGTTAGATAAGCTAAATGACTAAAAGCATTTGAACTGTAAACTAATGTTTTCCAGAAGATTCTATGAAGATGGAGCAATTGTATTGGGAGAAGAAGCAAACATGCTTGCTGGTATGTTGCTGGGACTCAATGCTATCGATTTCAGGTATCAATTTTTAGTGAATTTAAATAATGTTCATGCTAAAATGTTGATAGAAACTGAAATTATTTTTTTAACTTTCTGACTGTTAGGGATTTTCTTGCACCCTAGGTATTATCCATTTTATTGGGGGGGGGGAGGGAGGTTGAAGGAGTAAAAACATTTCCCCCCGTTTTCCTGTTATTCCCCCCACCCGTGTTGCAGTTGTGGAAACACTTGTTTATAAAATGGGGAGGTGAATAACCAGTGAAAATGAGGAAAATAGTTTTCCCCCTTCAAATCCCCCCGTCTGATAAAATTGACTATCATTCTAGCGCCCCCTTTTGGCCTCCGCCTGGATAATGGAACAGTACCATCTCCCATAAATGGTGAAAGTTAGGAAACATAAATTTCTTACTATGTTAAGAATGCACAATTACTTGCAACCTAGCTAATTTTTTGTGCTCATGATGTCAACTTACAGCGATTGCTCTTTCCTTAGATCGTGCTGTATGATTAAATCATTCATGGCTCAGTTTTGTGTGCTGTCATATTGGATTGTTTGAATATATGAACATCTAACCTAAATATCGTAAATAAAGAGGAAAGAAAACTGTTTTTTTTTTTAAATGGAGAAGAACTACGTCTAATTTTGTACATTCTTTCTCAGATTCAGTGATATCCAAGGATGATATGAGGCTCTATTTTTGTCAGCAGTGCTTCTATTTCAATACAGTCTATTTTATTTTTTTGGTTTAAAACTTAAACTGAACAGTTCATATGAGCTATAATTTAATGCTATGCAAAATAAGATTGTATGTTCCTTAACTTTGCATTGTGCCCCATTCCTTTTAATATGGACTTGGAAGAATTCATAAATTTCTGCTCTGTGATTTGAGCTCAGTACTGTTCCCTGTTACAGATAGTACTCCATAACCACAGACTCTGCATCCTTGGAGTCAATCAAAACAGAAAACTTTGATTTTGCCATTTTATCGAAGGGCCACAATTTTACTATGCCGTTGTATATAAATGGGACTTGATCATCCACACAGATCCTGGAACCAAATTGCAAAGGATACCAATGGCCCACTGTAAAACTAAACTTTGGGAATTTGTGCATGTGTTGATGATTAGTGACCAAATCAGAATTATAAACTAACCAGAACTCCCATCACCCTGGTACATCTAGATGTAATTAAATTAACACTGCAAATGTAAGCTGTTCCTGTGCTTGAGCCTTAGATTCCTTTATGTGTGTATATACAGTATGTTCCTTCAAGTTGCTTGTTACCTATGGTGACCCCATGAATTTCACAGGTTTTTTTTTTTTGAGGCAAAAAATGCTCAGAGGTGGTTTTGCCAGTTGCTTTCTGAAACATAGCTGATGTACCTGATTTCATTGGCAGTCTCCCCTCAAGTAGTCTTAATTATAGTTTTATGTGCTTTCAGAAAGATCCATATCCTCGGTCTAAGGGACATCTATCTGTAATGAAAGATAGTAACTTCAGTTGCTTTGATATTATAAGACAGCAAAATTTATTCTATTTTCTTTCCAGTTTTACAACTGAACAAGTCAAGTACATATATCCTCTCCCTATAAATGATTGTTTTGCATTCTGTAATGCCACTCTACATGTGGAAAAGTAGAGTGTTAAAAGAGGATATGACATCTTGCTTGCCATTGAAACAGTTAGTAATTGAATTTCAAGAATCTATGTTAAAGCCTGACTTTTCATTTACCGAAAATAGTTCTAAAATCTCCTCTATACTTGTAATTTTGTTATGAAAATTTAATTAGGTGCCAAAATTATTCAGTGTAGCCATCATTTACCTTCATTTAAAGATAATTACTGATTTTTCACAATTGTCTCAGCTTCTGCCTCAAGGGTGAAGGTTTGGACGGTAACTATCCAGCTGTGATAGACTACACACCATACCTGAAATTCACCCAAAGGTACGTGTCCTCTTGGATTTAAAGTTTAGTGATAACAGTCAACATTATTGTTACCTATAACTCCATTTACTGCTTCCAGTATGTTGAAATGTTACTAGTTGATATTGTAAGTATGATTTGGCTTCTTGAACTCTGGTTCAAGAAGGACCTAACTTTGAAATTTAAAAATGAGACTTAGGCATGCATACACATTTATGTATATAAAATACATATATAAAAATAAAAAATGTGGACTTCACATGACCACAGTTGCTATTGTCTTAACATCAAAAAGCCTGCATAACAGTTTTAAAATCAGCTCCTTGGAAAGCTGACATAGTCTTTGGTATCTGAAAAAGAAAACTCAGATGCAGCTGAAGTGCAAGTTCTGATACTTCTAGTGTTAATGGATGCTTGATACTTTAAAACATAAATATAGTGAAGCATCTGATAAACTGTAAGCATAAATACAAGCTATTTGTTATCTTTCAAATTTCATTTCTCAGTTCTGATAGCATCAGTAGTGATGAGGAAGAGCTAAGAACACTGGGCAGCAGTGGCAGTGAAAGCAGCACACCAGAAAATATTGGTCCTCCATTCAACATGGATGAGAACACTTGGTACAACAAATGCAAACGGGTTGAACAAAAATACCGACTTACACTGGAACAAAAGGTAAAACCTACATTGAAAGTAGTCACATTCTATAAACTTAACTTCACAAAATTATTTTCTTACTGCTAAAATGTAGTTCAAGACCAAATCATTATATGTTTGCTAAGGAGTTTAAAAAACAAAACAAAAAACATTCAGTAGATGAGAAAAAGATAGCTGCTGGGAACAGAAAGCAAGCCTGCTCGTAGTAAAGTGGGCCTTTGTTATCTGTGGGTTTGGTATCTGCATATATGAAATGAATAAATATTTAATTTGTTAAAAACTACAACCAAGAGTAGCCAGGCTGAGAATCAGTCTTGGGGTAGGAGTGGAGGCTGTGGTGGGGAGGCCTGGGCCACAAGTATGCATTTTTTCTGCTTTGGCTTTGGTGGGGATTCTGTTCTTTCCTTCAAAAGCCAAAGCAGGAAGAATGCATTCCTGATGCCTATACCTTCCTAACAAACTTTCTGTTGCTGTCCTGGGACTGCTTCTCAGCTGGCTGCAGTTGGCTCCAGGTAACTCATTTTTTTGTAATCTTAGGGGGGCTGGGGGAATCCTGGAACAACCCCTCACAGATACTGAGAGCCTACTGTATTTCAGATTTAGTTTTTTATTAAAAATATATGAAACAAACAGTGATATTGCTGCTAGTAGACTGACAGGGACATTGCTTGAGGGAAGTAAACAGTTCTAGAAAAGTAAAGAATAGTAGCAATTAAAAAAATAACCTAGAAGGTGGCTTCCTCTACTTAAAAAAGAATGTTCTTCCTGCAGCAGTCAAAAGTATAAAAAGAAACACAAGCCTACTTTTTTCTTTGTCTTACCCTTATCCTCACATTTTCTGTTAGGGTAGAAGTTAAATGTATGTGTTTACATGTATGGTTCATTTATCATACAAAACTATTCAAATGTGAGGCCCTGTAGTGCCACTGTTACTTTTCTATTTGGCATGTGTACATCATACCTTTTCACATATGATGAGGAAAAAAATGCAAACAGGTTTTGATTTTCCATCTGCACTGAAGCCAAAGTTTTTTTCCCCTTGGTTTCCTTCTGCACCTGTTAGAATCATAGAGTTGGAAGAGGCCACATGGTCCATCCAGCCCAATCACAAAGTACCTCAAAAGATGGCTATCCAGCCTCTGTTTAAAAGTCTCCAAAGAAAGAGCTTTTACTACACTCTGAGACAGAGAGTTCCACTGTTGAACAGCTCTTACAGTCAAGAAGTTCTTCCTAATGTCCAAGTGGAATCTCCTTTCCTGTCATTTGAACTAATTTCTCCAAGTCCTAGTCTCCAGGGCAGCAGAAGACAAGTCTGCTCCCTCTTCCTTTCACATATTTTTACATGGCTTTCATGTCTCCACTCAACCTCCTCTTCTGCAGTCTAAATATACCCAGCTCATTAAGCCACTCCTCATAGGGCATGGTTTCTAGACATTTGATCATGTTAATGGCCCTCTGGGCACGTTCCAGCTTGTCAATATCTTTCTTGAATTGTGGTGCCCAGAATTAGACACAGTATTCCAGATGAGGTTTGATCAAAGCAGACTAGAGGGGCACCATTACTTCCCTTGATCTATATATTACAATTCTTTTGGTGTAGCCCAAAAATCTCATTGGTTTATTTAGCTGCTGCATCACATCATTGGTTCATGATAGATATAGGACTGCGGCTGAGGCAGTAGGGCAACATGATACTTGTCAGTGCTTTGGATGCTGGATCAGACAACATATTAATTATAAAGGTGTATCTGCAGTTAGGAAAAATGCATTTTAATTGTGTACATTTTTGTTTGCCTATTTCCTTTCCAAAACATACTTGCGATCATTGATCAGGGCTATCATTAGATGCAGTGTGTTTCTCAAACTGTGTTCCTCCAGGTGTTTTGGACTTCAACTCCCAGAAATCCCAGGCAGTTGACTAGTTAAAAATTGTGGGAGATAAAGTTCAAAACACCTAGAGGAGCACATTTTGAGAAACACTGATTTAGGACCCTTCCACACAGCCGTATAACCCAGACTATCAAGGCAGATAATCCACAATATCTGTGTTGAACTGGATTATCTGAGGCCCCTCCCATACAGCTGTATAAAATACACATTGAACTGGATTATATCGCAGTGTAAAGCTACTGTTTCTTCAGTAGCTTTATTTTCTGCAAAGGAAGAATTAATTTGGAATGAGCCATTGCTGTATCAGAGGTATGGAGAAAACATATTTGTGGTAAAAACTGTTTGTAAGGAGCTTCAGGATTAAACCTCTTATTCCCCCTGTGGATCATTTGGTGTTAAAAGGGCTGAGCATATCATTTTACTTTTCTCGGGACCTTCCTGCACCTGCTTCTCTGTTGGGGGAAGAACACAGCTCCTCCGTTTCTTTATCTTCTGCCCATTCCTTAAGTGCCATGTCTTGCTCTCAGATGAGAGAGAGAGAGCCTCCCTGCAAATGTTCTTATAGCTGTTAGAGCAGCCAGCCTTGTTCTTGTGTGGCCTTCAAAGAACATGGCTGATCTCCCAGCAAAGCTAATAATCTTTCTGTTGCAAAGAAGAGAGACCCACAACACACACTGCAAAGCATAGTTATGTTTCAAAAGGCAAAGCGAGGTGGATTACAGGATTCTTGGAGCCTTAATTCTACTCATCAAGGCTGCCTCCTCTAATCCTATGCTGTCCAAAGTGTCTGTTTTGTGGATAAGGGCACCTGTTGAAGTTCTAATCATGGGCAATAATTTCTTTGTTGTTAATTACTATCAAGTCAACTTTGACGTATGCTGATCATATGAATGAGAGCTTCCAAGTCATCCTATCATTTTTAAGCTGATAAACTCTATAATCTCTTAAGAACATTTAAATAAATTACCAGCACTGGTGGAGGTTTTGATAGATTACTCTTTGTACGGCATACAATTTTCAGATGGTTCAATGGTCTTGGCTATAGCTATATGGCTCAGACATGGGAAGTTTGTCTCTAACTCAAACTGAAAGTAGGCAGATGTAACATGTATAGAATGGGCTTGTATTCCCCTCCACCATTGGCATCTGAGTAGTGACAAACTGCATGAAGCTGATTGGCAGGCATATTTCATTAATACAATGAAATTTTGTTCTTTTTTTTAAAAAAAAATATCAAAAAATGTAAAAGTTTGTAAGTTTGTAAAGGCACATAATGTTTACTGAATTTGGCATAGACCTACATGACTACTAATTACAGTAATGCTGACAATGCACATTTCTGACTTCATTCTGGAAGGCCACTGTGGTGCAACATTTCTCTGTCTTCAACCATTATGATTATAAAACCTGTGCATGATTATACATTTTATGAGGCCATCTATTTCTCCATTGTATGAATACACTATAAAATAAGGATGAGGCAAAGGTCACAAGAGGCAGAAGAGCGATCTCATGACATGTTTGTTCATCTCTCATGAGATGATGTATAAGTCATGCTGCTATGAGTAATGCAAAGTGACATACAGTTTTATATTTCAGTTTTATGTGCTGGTCCTTAATTGACTGCTATTCAGCATAATTTCACCTGCCTTGAAAGCAGATAAATGTACAGGGTGAATCAGTTGTTTGGGCTCACAAAAGTAACATGTATGAAATATACTAGAACTCTGTTGTTGGGTACAGCCATTTTATCTGAACAGAATGAGGAGCTTTAGTTATGAAGCTCTCAGGAAAAGAAAGAAGTCTCCAGGAAACATTTTACTTGATGGACTTCCCTGTCTCTCTGTTTCTGGTATCAGCAGTTTATGCTTTCATCCCTAGAGATATAGCCTGGGCTCATCTCATAAGGGATTTTGCAATTTCAACAATCTCTGAGGAGTTGTCGTGGCATACCTTAGCTGTTCGGCTACATGGCCTTACTACTCTACACTTGTTTGCCATTATTATATTTCTGGGCTGGAATAGTTGTTTCTTGTAGAATGTGCCATGCTTAGCTTCTTAGCATCTACTGTGGTGGGACAAAACTTCAATTTTGTACAAAGACAGGTATCACAATCCTTTTGGGCACATTTCTTCCAAATCTTTAGGTAACTATAGAAGTGTTTGCACAGATGATCATGAAAAGATACCCTTTTGAACTAGTTTTCAGTGTGTAAAGACTATCATCAGTAGTTTAACTGTGTATTAAATGCTAGAAAGCTTGCAAACATATATATTTAAAAATGAGCATGTGTTGTTTTACTTGCACATTTTATGCCATAGTCAATATGTCTGTGTTTTTAGGGTTATCTAGAAGAGCTAGTACGCCTTAGAGAGACTCAGCTGGCTGAATCCATCTCTCAGAAGAAGCTATTACGGCAGAAGATAGAAGCTATGAATATGGCCCATAAAACAGAAAAAGAGCAACTAGAATACATCATTGTGGAACTGCAGGATCAACTGTAAGTTGGATGCATTGCAGAAATTTTACTGGAGAAAAATGTTCTTGGATAATTTTTTTTCTTTAAATGTTTACAAAATTAATGTTGCTCATTTAGAAATATTGAAATTCTGTTTGCCTCAGAATCCCTTTGAAAGGTTTCAATTTTATTGTGGCTGGATCTTTGCATATATAATTAATAAAATATCAAATATTACAAAATAAATATTACAGACTATATTATGACTCACTAATTAACAGAGTGTTGTCATCCATAGAGAATTGTGATGAAATGATATATTTATAGCATCTATCTATCTATCTCTAATATTATTTTCAGTCTTTATGGATAACATACATACTAGAAAAGTATAGATCTTGAAGTTAGTTTTGGTATTTAGGATATATTGCCACTGTAAACATTACATTCATAAACAGAAAGATGCTTGGATCTTCCTTTATATTTCTAGTGTGAAATGAATTGGCTTGATTATTTTAAGAACTTGGAGAGTGAAATTTTTCTACATGCAGTCCCAAATTCTGTATCAAAATTATGCTGCCTTGTTAAATGTAATACTATATTATGCAAATGTCATAGCAATCTTTTGATTGTTCATACATTTAAATGTGTGATCTTTAGGAACAAGCAATTTTATTTAAACTTTGGACTTTAAACCAACAAATATAAAAATATTAAAATGCATTAAAACTAGTTTGTCTAATGTAGATTTTTAATGCTTCTAGTACATGGGGGGATGTAGACCAGTGGGAATTCTGCAGTCTTTTGGCTATGGAGGCTAGGACTACTGGGATTCATACTTTACAATGAGGCAAATGTAAATAAATTTGTATATTGTGAATTCTAAGCAGTGATTGCTTGATTACCTTATTGATATCAACAGAAAAACTGAGAAATAGATACTAAGTCATATAAGGTTATGATGTCGGGGTAACAAGGAACAAGCTAACAGTGCACAGGAATTAGGGTGCCACCAGACAGCCTGCACTTTGACTTTTCACCTATACTTCACTCTTCTGGAATTGTGAAGACACTGACACTGTCCCATCACTCATGATGAAGTACGACTTAATGCCCGTTTGTTAGGCCTCTATACATGAAATTGTGGGTGAAACCATATTCTCCTGCACAGAGCTAGCTTGGAAATATTGTTGTTCCTTTCAAGTCATTACTGATTAACCTTTTCTTAGCAAGATTTGTTCAGTGTGGAGTTGCTTTTGCCTCCCTCTGAGGCTGAAAACATGTGATTTGTCCAGGATCGCCCAGTGAGTTTCCATGGCCAAGTAGGGATTTGAACCCTGGTCTCAAACCACTACATCATGCTGGCTGCTGTGATTTATTCTCCAATTTGTTAGAGTTCATAAAATTACTGATGACGTAGACTATACCTAATGTAGGCTACAGTTCACGAAAACATTGGCTAATTTGTTCCCTAAAGCAATCGAGTTCACACTGTAATAAATATGTGAGTCTTTAAAGTACTACAAGTATACTTTTGTGCTGAGAAATATGTTTAGATTGCGTAGCTTTTTAAAATCATAATTTTGTGGAGACTACCTAGTTTTAGCTGATGCCTGTTTTCCTGTAGTAGTTTTTCATCAAAATGTGCAAACTGTACTTCAAGAATAATTTTGTTCATATGTTTAAATGCTGTGTGCTTAGCAGTGGGTGTAAGGGAGTGGATATTTTCAGTTAAAATAAAATTTAATTACAGAGACAACTAGCTCTATAGTCAAGTTATTCAGGAGAATAGACAGCAATAGGTATTGCAGTGATTTTTGATCAGACACATTGCCTGGAGGGTATTTTTTAATTTAAATATTCAGCAAAACATAAAAGGCTTGGGTGGATTTCATGATTTCAAATTTTGATATTGCTTGCCATACTATGGCAAGCTTGCCATACATGACCTCATGTAAGCTGCATCAAGTCCCCCTGGGGGAGATGGAGCGGGGTATAAATAAAGTTTTTTTAAAAAATTATTATTATTATTATTATTATTACAAGCAATCTCATAAGTGGATTTCAGATTGGAATAGGTAAAATAATTAAAATATTGGCTTAAGTGTAATGCTTGTGGTTGAAGTGGGGACTTTTAGCATTTCATTCTCTCCCTTGCCAACTCCTTTTGTTGCCAAAAGCCTGCTTTAAGATTTTTCCAGGAACACTCTTGAGCAGGTTTTAGGAGTTATTCTTTACATTGGGGAGGAGTGGGGAGGGTTAAGAGGAAGATGAATTGTTTGTATATAACATGGTTCCACAAGTGCAAGGATCATGTTGGTTATTGGCTTCTGCATCACTGTGGGACTTTTCACAGGTAATATAAGCGCAACAGAATTGACTGCTTCTCATTTCAAATCTCTGATGATTGACAACTCCCTGGGTGCCTAGTATTTTAAGAGACTTGCTCTTTTTTGGTACCATTTCAATACTTCATTACTTAGATTGCACTGACTCATTGTTAACCTAACATGAATCATTAACTGTACTCACAGCTCTTCCAAAGAGCATGATGATGTATTTGCATTAAGCATATTATCTATAAAAGGAGACCAGAGAATAAAGATATGGGGCAGAAAAAAGGAAGTCGAAACAATACAGATGAGTTTATTTAAACTAAGAACAGTTGCATAACTAATTCCATGTACCACAATTTGCATTTTGCAAGTTGATCTTTGAGAGGGACTGTATATAAATATAATAAATAAATAACGGACAGATATTTATTCCTCTGAATGGTCCCTGTGAAATGCACACATATGGGTCTCCTGTGCCTGCGCAAACAGTATCAGAACTCTCTAGAAGCTTCTCGTTTTCCTTAATTGAATAATCTATAGTTGGGAAGCTTAAACTATTGAAAGATGGTTGTCAACAGTGGCCTAGTAACTGCTAATGTATATATAGGGCCAGAAATTTTCACTAAAAGAATAGAACAGTATGTAATTGAAATAGATCACATACTGTTTCATTTCCTGTACTGTCAGAGATGAGAAAACTGCATTTGAAACCAAATGAAATGTGAAAAATAAATCATAATGCATGGGATTTCTTATCTATATAAATCTAAACTGTAGCATTTTAAAAATCTAATGTTTTGTTATAAATGTCTCTTCTCATTTCTTTTGTTTCTTGACCCTAATTTGGATATCTTCAGCTTGCTATAAAATGCCATGACATTTCAATCAGTTCAGCAACAAGATAGGACATTTTCTGAATCAGTTTTGTTGAGTTTATACTATTGATCTCCAGGTAGTCTGTAACAGGGGTTGTTTCCACCCAATAATTTTTTGACGTGACCCCAGGTATATATGTATATTTGAAAAGTATGAAAACTCAATATTTACTGATAATCAGCATTCACAAAGCTTGCTCAACAAGCTGGTTTATCTTTTTGTGGAGTGCAGTTCCCTCCTCCTGCTTCAAGGGTGCACTGGGCACCACCTTTTGACAAAAACACAGCTTGGGGACAGGGCCAAGCTTGGGACTAATGGCAGAGAAAGTGGGTGCAGAAGCTGGCAGGTGAGAGGTTGAGAGGCTCCACCATGTTGTTCCACCACCATGTTTCTTACTGTGGATGTGTGGGTTGCCTGCCTGCCTCGCTAGCCCTCCCCCCTCCCCCCCTTTAAACAAGCAGCAGCTGCAGAGAGGGAGCATGCAGTCTGAACAAACCTGTTTAAAGGGGGGAGAGCTAGCAAGAAAGCACGCTGGCTGAAAGAATGAACAAACAAGTACGTGCATGAAACAGAAGAACAAAGCACACACGCGTGTATTGTTACAGCTGTTGCCTGTTAAAGAGAGGGGAATGCATCACTGGCTGGGTAGCTGTGAAAAAAAGGAATGTGCTGGTGGTTGCCTGCACTCCGAGGAGAGATGCCAGCTACCTTTTTTGCTCTATCTCACACTCTCCCTGCAGGTAGACAGCCCACACATCCTCAGTAAGAGACTCTGGAGTCTTTCCTCAGCAGCTCGCCCACCAGCTGGAGCTCTCCTCCAAGGACCTGTCCTTTCCTCCCCATCTTCCCCCCCCCCCTTTCCCCCAGTTGGGCCAGCAGGGCCCCCTCTGCACCCGCTTTCTCTGTGCGCGGTCAGCCACTGCTGCATTCCTTTCCTTTGCAGCTACCCAGCCAGGAAGAAGAAGGGAGGAGCTGCCGCGGCACATGTTTGAAAGGGGAGGGGGCCCTCAATTTGTTTCACAGAGCCCTAAGGGCACTGCGGAGCACAGTTTGAGAACTGCTGGTCTATAGCAATCATAGAAATGGTATACAGCCTTAACTACTAAACAGGTGGTATTTGTGATTTCATAGCCGTATTACTCTGGAATATCAGTATGCTAAAGAATATTATAGCACCTCAGAACCTAAGGTGCTATAAGATCCCTTTGCATGCTCTTGTGCATATCCTATTGTGAAAGGTTTTTAAATGCTTTTCTAATAAAATGCATATGATTTGCAGCTACTTTCAAAACTAGCCTAGTAAAATGAGTTTGTAGAGTGGTGCTCTGTGCTCAGTTAATCTAGATCACATAACATAAATGGAAAAAAAATCATCTGGTCTTTGTGAATGGTGGTTTTGAAAGATTATCATGATATAGTGTGACCTCATGGGTTTATATTTTACATATTTTACATGCCTAACTGGGTTGAGCATTTTTACAGGGACTTACTTTCTTTAGGGAGCAAGTTCTGTAGTGAATATTATGGAAAGTGCTATGAGCAGCAGAAAACGAGATTGCGTGTCAGTAACTAGAATTCTACTATTGTTATCTCCTCCATAAATCCACATTCATTCTTAGATCTCCTTGCTGCATTAGGACTATTTTTGTTTGTTTGCTGTTGGGAGTTTTTGTACTATACTAACATATAGTTAGAGGGCAGATAACACACCACATGCATTGTTGCATGGGCTCACATCCATGACATTTGAAATTTCAACAGATTTGAGTCATCAAGTGGTGCTGACAACTCATTCCATAGAGAGGGGATATGTGAAGGAGATTTCCCAATAGGAGAATTCATAGTACTGGTAAGTAATTAAGCTGTATGGTTGTCTCACTAAGTTGTAAACACTACTAATCTTTTTGTATATGGAATTCTTTATCTGTTGTGTGAAGCATTCATGGCTTTGAACTTCAAATAATTAATATCTCTATTATTATTATTCTGACTGTGAATTTCCAAATAGTAAAGCCCCCTCCCCCCCCTTCCCCGAGTCACGTTTGCTTTCACCTTCAAGAGCATTTTTGCTGTTTTGGACTGACTTTATGTGAAAGCATATATAGATATTCAGAGAAACCCCATTTATTTTATTTTCAGTCTGTGGAACTAAAATAATACAGTGAAAAATAACTGACCTGTTTGGAAGAAAGTCAAATATTGTAACTTCAGCTGTTGTTGAAGAAAAGTACTGGGAGTTTCACCCTTGCCATGAATAGGAGCATTGATACTTTCCTTATGACGATAAGCTTCATTGCACAAAATAATTGATAGAAAGCAGCATTTTAAATCATGTCCTTTTTCTGTGTTTACCTGGATGAAATAAAAATAAACCATACTTTCGATACAGCACAGCTGTTGACCTCTGTTCTGTGAGTCATGTGCCTTTACTGCGATCTCTTATGACTGAAAAAAATCTGAAAAGCTCGGGCTTTGTTTTGTGTTCTCCTATAGCCTTGCCAATATAGAAAATGGAATTGTTGAAGAACTTAGGACCTTGATTTTCTGCTTTGTGAAACAGAAATATTCTTCCAGTTTTATGGAGGTGTGAAATATTAGCTGAGAAAGTACAGTGCTAGGTAACTGAGATTCAAACACGACATTAGCCATTATTTGCTTTTCCTTCTACATGATTCATTTGCTGAACAAGATCATTTTATCAGTCAAAGTACCCCATAGTGCAGTTCCAAAGTGGGTTTTCGGGTTTTAAAAAATAATTAGTACTAAAATTCTATGAAGTCTCTCCTGGGTAAAAGTGTCTTAAGAACAGCATGATTGCGGATGAATCTTCCAAGTACAAGCCTATTTTCTTCCTGTGCTTGAAGACATTACTTCTAATGGCATAAAATTCACTGTGTGTTCACAGAACTGTGCTAAAGAATAATGATTTAAGATCAAGACAAGAATTAACTACCCATCTCACCAATCAGTGGCCTTCCCCAGGAGTTCTGGATGTTAATGCTGTTGCCTTGGATACGCTACTTTATCGAAAACAAAATAAGCAATGGGATGAGTAAGTTGAAATATTTATGCAGTGCTCCTAAGATCCCAGATATCTTATTTTCCCCCCTGCATCTTGTCATATGGAATATTGTGTGTTAAGGGCTTGGGGGAAAACCTGTAGATGAGTAAATATTAAAGCATTTAATATTTACTAGCATTCTTGTCTTAAACACAAGTGCACGTGTACAAAGTGTTTACAAATTTTATAGGTGCATAATCTTTTCATTTATTTTTAGTAATCTTAAAATAACCCTACAAGATAGATTTGTATTATTCACGCTACTTGCCAGTACTTGAGTTATTAAACTTAGTTTGCATCAAAAACATGGGAAGGTAAAAATTAGAAAGCTAGAAAGTAGTAAGAATATTTTTTGCATAGTGGTAGTGTAGATTTTATAGCACACAATACACAGGCAGTTGCCACAAAGTACAGGTTCTTACAGCAGTTGTCACAAAGCCCAGTTAATATACATCGGTGTTTGAATATATCTTGTTTCCTTAGGTCATGTACACTTGACCTGCCCCCCCTCCCCATGGCATGGCTTGATCTCTCACAGCTACCAACATAATTAGGATCCTATATTGCTGAACAAATGTAGAGAAGATTAGAAACCATTACAAGGCACAAAGTGCATGATCCCTTGTGTAATCTTTATGGTCTTTATTTAACCTACACAAGATTAAACGTGTGTTATTTCTAGTTTTAGAGAGGAGCTGCCTATATTGTTTCCAATTTTTGGGATACATTTTACAAAGGACCTAGCAATCCCTAGTATATATTGACAGTTAAAAATCTGAGCAGTAATTTAGAACTTTAGAAGCGGAAGGCTTTATTATGCAGAAATTTGGCTCCTGATGGAAATACATACCTTGAAATAGTTCAGTAACCTTACAACTGCATTAAAATGCATTTGTCACTTCAGTGAATGTACGTTTTCACAGGAAACAGCATTCTTTCTGAATTGTAAATGCATATATCCCTATCTGCATTTTGTGAGAGGTTTTAACTGTGAGTCTTTCAGGATGTTTGATCTGCAATTCTAAAGGAGGAGTAAGGATCTTCTTATTTAGACAAATATCTGTCCTTTTTTTATCTTACTTATGAAGTACTTAATACCTGCACGAGTTGTTTGGAGAGAAACAGACTTGCTTACCCAAAAACTGCCATACCAGCCAATACCGACTAGCACTTATGTTTTGTCAGATGATGACTGGTATGTGTGTCCACTCACTCTCTATTGCTTCTTTTTTTATGCTTTGCAAAACCCAGTTTTAATACAAACATCAATAGTAATAAAATGGTCATTTCCTGCAGAATTATATACTGATATTCTTTCACCATCATTGTTTCCTGGAAGATTTTCAGATATTCTTCTTTGTTAGGCAATTCTCCCAGTGACTCTTTTATTCAAGATGTCTTCTTATCTTTTTTCTCTTGGTAATATATGCTTGGAAATTACACTTAAGTGAATAGTCTTATTCTTATGTGGCCATAGTTTGGTTTAGAGTTGTGTGAACACTTTAATATGTAGAGCCAATATTGCCATGAAGTACTTTGTAGTGTACCTTTACTTCATTTGATATTAATAACCTGCTTTTTGATTTTAAAAAATGGCATGGTTTATAATGTGGAATACTTTGTTGCAGCATGTTATGAAAAGACTCTGGACTTTTCCTGTCAAGGAGACCTTGATGTACACAGTTCTTGTGGAAAGGGATAAGGCAAACAGAAGACAAATTGTTTGACAGGCAAAAAGGGACTAGTCAAGAAGAGAGGGAGGATTTATTCCAGAAGTCTGCATTGGCATCGCTATATGAATAACAACAGCCTACTTGCGTTGTCAAGATTCAGAAAGACAAAGCAAGCCAAATAGTCTAGTGGTCTATTAGTGCATTGAGTTGAGGGTTATAGTACTGAATGTTGGGGATGTTCTCAAAAGGCTGATACACCAAGAGACAGATCTATTATAACCAATTTAATAGGATGCACTGTGCATATGAAAAGCTTATAATTTTTATACGTTTGTCTCTCACAAACTATGGAATTATGAATAATTTGGAATGCAAATAGCTTTATTTGTTTGGTTATTTAATCCTATTTATTTAACTATTTCTATTACTGCTGAATTGGGAATTTTGGGGAGAGGGACTTTTAAAAAATACTATTCTTGTATTGTTCTGATATGCATAGTAGTTGGGAAGATGTCTTAAAGCACAGACTTTTGTTACTGTAAACCTCATGGAATAACTTCAGATTCCAAAGTAGTGTAGCAATAATTCCATCTGTTCTTGGAGACCTTGAGACTTTGCTTCTAGGAAATAGCTTGAATGTCTGCAAATACACTTTTCAGCAAATACATTTTACACAGATTATTTAATGGTAAATTCTTGTGTATGTCTCTTGTGCACACCTATAGAATCACATACTTTTCAAAAACCTGGGTAGGTTAGCAAATATTCTTGAATAATTCACAAATACACTCGTTTTTGTTTAGTTTTGTATAATCTCAGTAACATTGCAAACTTCATAGTTCTGCAGGGAACAACAAGATTCAGGTATGAATTTGGGAAAAAAACTTCAGAAATTCTCATAAGTGACATACTCTCATTCAGAGTTGGCTATTGGTTATAACTTGCATCACGAGATACAAACTTTTAAGACAGTATGTAATAAATTAGAAATGCAGTATAAACTATTAGAGATGCAGTAGGGTTTGAACAGCTAACCTATCAAAGAAGCATTAATCCAATATACAAACCAGAATTGAACAGAGCAGAAAGCTTAAAAGCATGACAGTATTTAAAAACCAATATTACACCAAACACCAGGAAGATACCAGAAAGGAAGCTGCCACTGAAAAGGCCCTTTCTCTGCTACCAACTGAACTTCAAATAGTATGAAACCTCAGAAGTGGGTTCTTGGTTGTCAGTCACATTTGAAGAAAAGCAAATCTTAAAACTTTAAGATAAATGATGTGTAAACATGTAACACCCTCTCTCTGGGTTTGTATCACTGAGTCTTCATTTTGAAATTTCTCAAGCGTATCTTCTGTTTTAAATAACATAAATTGTGTATTCACATCTATTGTTCCTTTCTGCAATTTTACTTAACGAAAAACTTTTCTTATACTTTATGAATTGAATCCAAAAACTACATCGTGGAAAACTTTGATTAAGCCTAGATTAACCCCATTATTTCCATCTTTATATTTATGGTGTAGCATATTTTTGAGAAAGTTCTCTAGAAAATAGGACAAATTGCAACTGTCATAATGATAACTGGCATCATTTGAATACTTGGAAGATAATTAATCAAACTGGCTGTCATTGATTTTGCAGAAAGAGCTTTCACAGCCTGGACCAGCTCTCAGCTGATGTTAGCCTATCTCAAACATCTCTGGATCCAAGCCATTCACAAGATGAAGATATAAAACAGAGTGGACTGAATTCACTTAGTGAAGGTAAAGTTCCCAGCCTAAAAGTTGATTGATATTTAAAACGTCATAATCACCATTTTTGTATATATATGAGGCTGTGCAGTTATGCTGCTTCTAACTTACAATCTGTCATTATAACTCTCCCAACCTGAATAGTAAGGATATACCAGTATCATCAAGTATTATAGATGCAGATTTATAAGTCAATGTTATATGCAGTGCAGTCTGCCTACTCTCCATTATTTTTAGATCAGAACTAGACTTTCTGATCTGCCTTTGGCATTACCGCCATCAAGAGGCTTAATCTTACCTTACAGATTCACATCCTGGTTTTCAAAAACTTTCCCAGGATCGCCGGTTTTCTTAAAATCTTCCTAAATACTAAGGCTGTCCCCATATATTGCCTTATTTAGCAATGTTCATGTGGTGGAACCACCACACAATTGGGACCATTTGTATAGCAGAGCTTCCTGCAGGTAAGCTACTTGGAAATGAGTGGTGTTGGCCTTGTGGCTCTCTGGCATCCTTATCTATGGTGGCAATAATGTAAAGGTTCAAAGCAATGTGTAGAGGTTTCATGAACAAATCTACTGAATTGACATGCAAGCTGTAGTTTTGTCAGGAAAATAAAACCACTCTCATTTAATGGTTTATATACCAAAATGCAGGGAAGCTGCATTAATTGTATGTAAATTTTTTGTGTGTTTGTGGACTTATGGCAACCCCATGAATTTCATGGGATTTTCTTACACAAGGAAAACTCTGAGGTGGTTTTGCCAGTTCCCTCCTTTGAAATTTAGGCTATAGCACCTGGTATTTGTTAGCAGTTTTCTGTCCAAAACTTAAACTCAATGTGTAATTACTGTCATGCATATTGTGAAGTCTCGGCCTGTTTATTTCCCAGTTGGACTGTTCCATTTTGCCAAGTTTAGGGGAGAAGCTTAGGTTTCCCCTAGAGGCCGAGCTCGGTTGGTGCAGCCCATTCTGACACAGAGCCAGAATGGGCTGGTGATAGAACTTCTTACTCCATTCCTTTTGATCACAGCTTATAGATAGTTGCCAGATAGTGTCTGGTCTGGCCTAGCAATTTGAACAGGCCATCCTTATCACATATTTGCCATAGTTCATAGATAATACATGTTTCATAGATAGAGAGTTTATATTTGCCTTATAGATAGATAGTTCAGATATACTTGCCCCATAGATTTTAGATTATAGTAAATGTTATATAGAATAGATAGTACCTGCCTTAGAGTTTATAGTTTATAGAGTACTTACCTCATTGAAATTATAGTTTGTTACCTCAGAGTTTATATTTCACTGTTCTAACACCATCATAATCAAACTGTACTTTTATACCTTGATTATTCAGTAAACAATTGTTGAATTTAATCTTGTTTGTAGAGTTTTATTTTGGGGGAATTACAGTAATTAGGGCATACCGATGGTCACTGGGAAAATAGCCAGACACATTTAGTTTTCTCCTTAATCTTCCCGGTGTGCCATCATACATATTATTTCTAAACTCTCTTTATCCAAGGAATTATAAACAACTTTTTATCTTTCACTTCCTACCAATTTCAATTCTAACAGTGATTATTAGATAACATGTACATAAATCTGAATTGCCCTATACCTTCCTGCCATTTTGATTATGAACAGAAAATTGGTACTTACCATGATTCCTTTTCTGCAGCAGTGAGAAGAAAATCCTTAAGCTGGGTCTTTCTTCACACATTTCTGACGAAACTTCATTGTATTAGGATCTTTAGCATCTTTTCTCAATTATTCTCCAAGTTTCTGGCATCTAAAGCTTTCTTCAAGTACTATGTCTCCTACAGTAAAGTCAGAGGTAGGGCTCTGCTGTGACCCCCTAACTCTGACCTAGGCAGGAAAAGCATGGTGGCAGCAAGCAGCTGCATTTTCACATGCATATTTCAGCATCTATTACACTGACTTGTGGTAGGAGTGACTCAGGTGAGGGTTTTATTTGTGATGTTACTTTGCTTTTTTAATGCCCCATTACTAGACATATTTAAAGGAGCTATAATTATATATTTTTTTAAATAGGAAAAGAAGACACCCCTTCATTACTTGGCCTCTGTGGTTCTCTGACTTCAGTAGCAAGCTACAAATCTTTAACAAGTTTGAAATCAAGTGAATATCTCGCAAGCCCTACGACAGAGATGACAAGTCCTGGACTAACTCCTTCTTGAGCAGATATACGCAGAGAAGGCCATTTGTGTTTGCATTCAGTTGGCATGCCTGGATTTATCAACTGTCAAGGCTCACAGAAAGTCAACTCAGCTTTAACTAAAATGCTACCTGTCTTTTTTTTGTTTTTGTTTTGTTTTTTTGCAGTTATCTTGGAAAGGAACATTCTTAGGTATGCATTTGTTGACTGCTTAATAATATCTAGTCTCCTGTTGAATGTATTGTACAATTAAGATTAAGAATCTCCTAAGCAAGGATGGACATAATTATTTTAAGTCCTGGAATTTGTCTTTTGTGTAAGACTTACTGATACTCATATTGATGTCCAAAGGACTTTACTGTACTTTTCTAAGGTATGCCAGTGATGACTTGAAAATGGATGTGTTTGAATTTACTGAAAAAGCAAAAATATTGTGTGCTATTATGATGAATTTAAAGATGAAACTAGAACAATGGCAACCATTAGTTCTACATAAATTTTCCCACTATACTGTACAGCTGTTTTAATTTTTGTTGGGTCAATGAATTATTATTGTCATCAGCATCATACTCCTATTTAGCACCTTGATGTAAGCCCTCCACAAGCATAAAGGGGCATACTGGTGGCAGAGGTATCAGTGCACGTGTAAGACCAGCCTTCAAAGCTTACTGTGCATATAACTGCTTCTAAGACTTCCATGTTTTAAGTCTGAAGTTATTAATAGGGCCATGTTCCATATCACAGTAGCTCTGTAAATGTGTTCAACAGAGTGCAGTTATGGAGCCTTATCCAAACCCACAAGCTCAGTGTGTTGGGTCTGGGAAGCTGCTGGCTGTGTAACTTACATTCAGTGTGGAGAATTACATGCAGACCCACACTCCTGCTCCCAGTTTATTCCTGCAGAGGCCTATAGTGAACTCATCTGCAATATTAAAAGGAAAATTCAGAGATGCCTTCCAAATTGCTGACCTCAAACTAAATCTTAAGTTAGAGGTTGGAAGTGTTTACTGAGGAAGACACATATCTCCAAACAGAAAATGTCACAATGGATTTTTATGTAAAAGTTTTTGTGAAATACTTTGCAGACTTCTTTCTGCTTGCTTTGTAGTTAAAAAAACAAACAGGTACAACCTGTCCAGTTACAGTAAACTTTATTTTATTGTAAAACATGCAAACAATGTATATATTTGTTTCAAGTTCTGCAGTTTAATTTTTGAAGTGCAATTCTCTTTACAGTGAAACTGCTAGCTCCTAGCCTTACTGGGAATGGTTATCTGTAGTAATCACCAGGTTATTTTGTGCAGAAGCATTGATACACATAGGGCCTCTGAAACTGATGACTTTAAAGAAATACTTTACTGTGCCAAAGAAATTTTACATTTTGTTTACTAGTATGTAAAAACATCTGAGAATCTTAAAAATACAGCTAAATTTGAGATGGACAGTATGAAGACATACCATTTTTTTCATAGAGGTGTTTCTTGTAAACCTGCTATAAAATTTGATTGGGGTGATTAAGAGACAAATTAGAAATTTACTATGTTAAATATGTGCTGTTTTAAATTTTGAAACAAAGCAGCACTCTTGCTCTGCCAGAATGTATACACTGGCTACTTGGAACATGCATGTTAACAACATTCAAAAGCACGAGAAACAAAACTAATCTGTGCAGGTAAGCTTCCAGAAGTGTGTACAGTAATATTAGCAGGCTGTATGTGAAAACTTTCTTGGGCTAAGAGGATTACTTTGTTATACCTGTTATTAATAGGTTGGCAAAGCTATAATGAAAGTCTTTTGGGGAACATTTGTAAAGTCTAGAATGTGTGTGTGTGTGTGTGAAACCAGGTGATTTGATATTTGTGCATGAAAAGGTAACTACTATCTTGATTTCCAAACCTTGCTAAACTTTGAGAATTCAAAATAAAGCAAATTGTGAATACTTATTGCCCTGCTACATCAAATACTGCATGTGCATTAAATTTTTTGTATTATTGCTACTGTAGTTGTACTTTTTCCTGATGACAATTACATTGCCTGTTTATTAAAAACAAACAAGCACCTAAGACATTGCATCACACTATTTAAGGAACTACAGAATTATGCAGATTTAAAATATACAGCTTAACATTAGACATCTGCTAGAATTGAGGTATAGTTTCATACCAGTGATCACTCAGTGTTCAAGATAATTTGCTCTTTTAAAAGCTCATTTTCCTTCAGCTTATTATTAGTCTTCCTAAAGTTGGGGCAAATGTTGTATTTTAATCCATGTACAAGGAGGTACACAGTGCTGTAGATTTGCCTATGGCCTGAAACGTTCATTCCATGCCAAGTGTAACAATCTGTGAACTGCAACACCCATTCGTCCTAACCAGCATGACTAATGCCGAGAGATCCTGGAAGTTCCAGTTCAACAGCATTTGGAGAGCAACAAATTGCCCATTCCTGGTTTAAGCTTCAACAATGGGAGAATCAATGGAGGAAGAAAAAAGAAGAAGAAAATAAGAGATGGAGATTGATAAATGTACACTTTGTCTGCAACTGGAACAAAGTGGCCCAGCTTGAGATGTTCAACATGTAGCTCTCCAGATGCTGGGTAGCAATTTCCCTAATCTGGCTAGAGCTGTTTAAAGTTACAATCAGAGGTCTAGAAGGCCCTCACCCATCCCTGAACTACTAAAAAGTAGAGAAAGGTAAATAACATCCAATGGAAAGATAACTTAGATAATAGATATACTTGAATTTGCTCTGCGATTTGAAGTATTATCAATGCAAAAAGAAGGGCTGAGAGTCATCCATCCATTTTTTTCACTTTTCTGAAGAAAAAACTGAGTAAAATTAGTACTTCTTAGCTAAATTGCAAAGCATAAGGAAGGAAAGAAGGAAGGACCAAAATGTTCAGATTATAGTTCTGCTGGCTATGATGTAGTTACACAGTAGAATTAAATAATTGCTATTAAAGTAATGGAAAAAAAACTATTGCACAAATTAACTGACATCCTGCCACTGGTCTAACATGTAAAGCCATGGAACTTCCTGTTGTACTCTAAAAGATTAATTTATTATACCACCAGTTTTTAAAGATGATAGCCTATTTCGTTACATATTTGAGATATTATCCACATTTTCAGGATATGTTTCTGCTTCTGATATAGCTGTTAGTCCATGTGAATTCATGTTTACTGAATCAAACAGCTTTATTGTTTTTTTCCCCCTCCCTCAACTATCTTGACATGGCAACTCCCCTGTTATTCTGTTTCCCTTTGACTTCTGTAGACAGATATGTTCATAGGTTTTAATGCACATATTTGATTCCAAATCAGAAAAACATAATAAAAACAGCACTCCTTTATTACTAACATATTTGTTTCTACCTTGATAAATATTCATACAATTACTGAAGTAACTTCTACATCCGGAAAACAATTGTTATACATGCCGAACCATGGCTTGGGCATACTGTTTTATCAAGAGAATTCAGAAACTCCTGTGCTAGGAATCACCAGGTAGGGCTGAGTAAAACCACACATATAGTTAGAGGCAACGTGTGTACTAATCTATCACACACTTAGCTGTACTGAACCTGGATTCTATATAGGTATTTTTCAGAGTACACGTGGATATGCTGTCACATTCTGTTACCGTATGTAGGACTATGAATAACACAATGGCAACAGAAAGAAAAATTCTCCAATTTTTTTCTACAACACTTCCTGTTTGTTCTGTTTACTTGAATACAGAACTTTTAGGGGCTCTGTTAACTGCAAAACTAGATGATATTTATGACATTGCTGGAGCTTGAGTGATATATGGAGAGCTTATACTTTCAAGATGCAACTTTCTTATATGGACTAGGGTATATCCCTCTTGTCATTATTGCCACTTTCAGTCTACAGAAACAGCATTAACGGTTCTCCATGTTTTTCTTTTTATTTAACTTACGAAAGAAAGATTTCCCATATTCATATGTACTTATCATTATGGCACAAGCAGGAGCAATTTTTGTCAGCCTTGGAATAATACCTAAAGAAAGAGGGAAAAGGTTAAAAGTACATAGTAGTGCAAGAAAATTGGTTCACATTACATAACTGGAATAAGATGATGAATATCAGAAAGCTGTTATTTAAAAGTTTAAATTGTGAGTCTAATGCAATACAGATGAATTTTATGGTTATTAATCTGATAATGTACATTGTAAAATGGGAGAATGATTTCACTACTGGAGACTTCTAAATTGTACAATTTGTTCCAGCAATAGTTTATTCACAGATTATAGCAGTTGTTTTATATAATTAATTTATATTCTTTAAAGTCTTGTCCACACTTTGAACAACAGTTCACATAATGGAATCTTATGCATGTTACTTAGAACAAATTCCTGCAGTGTCCAGAGAAGTAAGTGCAAGAGAAACAGATGTTGGATTCGAGGACAGTGAACCCAGTGGAGGAGTGATGGACAGACAGAGAATTGATCAAAACATGGAGATGGCAAAAGTGGGTGAGCAAAATGGTGCACTGGTGGAGATGCAATAAGACCCTGACTGGATGATTTAGGACGCAGCATGTGGAGAGCAGAAGTCATGTGGTTCACAGTAGTGATACAAATCATGCTAAGAAGATGAGTATAGCAGGTGATCTATGAAAGGAGGAAGGCAAACTCATTGGAGAGGAATAGTCATAGTAGCAATGTGGATCAAGTTTTGACTTCAGGTTTGGATCGAGTTCTGACTTTATTCTTGAAAGTATTCTTCCTTTTTTTGGTTCAGTCATCAAATGGAGAAACATTGCTTATTCCCATGTCGAGCATGTATAGCTCAGCCCAACTTTGTGCCTGAAGGCAAGTGGAACAAATATCAATTCTCTACTACTATACTACTAGTATAGCAGAAGTCAACAATGGTGGCTTGCAGAGAGAGCTGAAGTTATATCCGTTGGCATCAAGTACCACGCTAGAGTCTGACATGGGTGTTGACCAACTTTGGGAGGCAGAGATAGATGATTTACAGACTTTCTTCACAGTTACAAGCTTAGCCACTGATGTAGAGGAAGAATAGAACATTTTATAGAAGTTACTTGGTCTGTTACTGAAGATGTCCCTCCCAATTGTAATTTAACATGGGAAACTTATGCAGAGCTTTGAATATGAATCTGCAAGCAGATGGAACTCTGCTATATGATGTGTCCTTCACCAAGACAAAATAAACTGGGAGTGACCACTAGCCAGAGAAACTTTTGTCCCACAAGAAGTATAAAGTTTGAGGAGAGGCTTTGAGACCATAAAAGAATAAATGGTTGGGCAGGTCAAAGCCCTGAAGGAAAAAAGAAAGGTCCCCACAGACAGCACAGCAAACTGATGAAGCAGCTGAATTTTAATAGTTAAGCTGTTCTGCACTACAGGTACTGACTGTTTCTATCTGATCTTTTGTTATTACCACTGTTTGCCTTCAAATAATTTCTGACTTATGGTAACACTAAGACAGCCAACCCTATCACTGGGCAGAAATTGTTCGAAGGCTGTTTACTCTTGCCTTCCCATGAGACAGAGAGTATGACAAGATCATCCAGTGAGTTTCAATGGCTGAATAGAGATTCAAACCATGGTTTACCAGTGTCTTTGTTTCAACACTCAAACCACTGCACCATGTTGCCTCTTGCACCTGATCGATTATTAATATCTATTTTACTTTCCTGTTTTCTTCAGTCTTTCAGCTGAAGATTTTGTAGATCAGACTTCATGATCAGCATCCTTTTCCTGTAGATCAGTCCAGTTGTCCAACTGCTACTGCAGTGAACCTCAACCAGCCCCTTAGAATTACTCTCACTTGACAAAACAAATATTTTTCTTAATGACATTCATACAAAAGTTCAAAGGTTGAATGATGTGCAGTTAACTGAGCTTTACTTTTGAGTTGCCCCTCACTGGTTCCTTAGCATTATTTTAATCATTCTCATGGCACATTTTCTACTTCAAAGTATTACCAATATCTGACAACATTACAAAGGAAGCCAACAAAGATATAGGGCAGGCTGCACTGGCCCTCCAGGTGTTTGGAACTCAAACTATCAGAAGTCCTAGCCAGGTTGTCCAGTGGTCAGGAATTCTGGGAGCTAAACTTCAAAACACCTGGAGGGCCACAGATTGTGCAGGTCTGATATATAGGGTAAAAGATTAAGGTAGTGCCCACCCTGAGGAAATAGAAGAGACAACTGAAGTAAGAAATCATAGTGAAGTGATAAGATACTGAAGAACTTCAAGAGAAAATGGTGAAGTAGAAGGAGCTATTAAGGAAGTCCAGGGAGTCACTTGCCATACTATTAGCTGATGAGACAAGATGGAAAAAAAATATAAAAAGATGGGTCAACAGGCAAGCTGACAATAATCACCTAACTACTGCTTCTGAAATTGGCACAAAGAATATTTTAATTGCTTCTCTGCTCCATCCAGGGCTCATTGCCCCATCTTTTTAAAAGGCCTCTTTAAATCATGGATAGCAATTCAAAGTAGACAAAATAATATATGAAAACAATATTTATGTGCCTATATTTTACTTCCTTTACCAGTAAACAATCCAGCAAGTCCATTTTCAGCAACAATTCTCTTCATTACTTCCCAAATTGATCTACTTTTCTGTGATGCTAAGTAAAAGAAAACACATTAAATGTGAAAAGAAGTGGTCATTCAATTACATTTCAGTTACACTTATATCTAGCTTATACCTATGTTTTGCTGCAAATCACTATTTTCATGTGAGAGGGTTTTCAAAGTCAACTGCTGGAACATTTTATACTGCATGTTGATTTAATTTATTTACGTGTATATATGTCACTTTGATATTATAGTAAACCGATGACGATGATCAGCAGAAATTCCAAGAAACTGTAATGTTCTGAGCACCTACAACTATATATCATAGTTGAGTCTGGACAGTAGCTAATATGCAATTTCTTCAGAACTAGCTAAAAATATAGAGACAGCCATATTCTGTGAGTTTC